ACACACACAAACAAAAAAAAAAACCCTGCCTTCGACCTCAGCTTCTTGGACACAACACTGGAGGATCGATTGTCTCATTCTACCAAGACAGGTAGACCAAAACCTACCCACTCAGAAAAATCTGTCAGGCCTCATGGGGTTAGCAACTAAAGGCAAGTAGTGCTTCTAAGGCTGGTATTCGCCAAAGACTACGAAGAGACTCGGGATTTCCTCCGTAGCTAAAAAGTTGTCTCACTTCTGCTCACTTACTTCTCCCTCTCAGATCTGTCTGATGGCATCTGATGACTTAAGGTACTGGTAGCTCATTACTTCATTTGATAAGTTTCCTGCTAAAAATACAGACAGGTGTGCCTCATTCCCAGGCTTCATAGTCCAAAATTAACAGACTTCAGAAGCATCTTCAGAGGTTCAGAGTTTCTATTTTTTTTTTTGAATTGTCTTCTAAAATGTTCATGCCCTTTACCCTAAAGCCACAGGCTTTTGTTATGATACCAAGATGTACATCTATTCCAGCTGCCTTACAGATACCTGCAAACTCCTGGGGAAAGTTCTGCTGCTATATCAAAAATTATGGTCCGGTGAAAACTGACAGTCTTCAGAGCCTATTTTGACTCCATCCATTTTCAAGCATATTTTACAGGTCACCTATGTCTGGGTGAAGACAAACTTACAGAGGACCCTCCAGATAATGCCAGCACCTGCACCAGCTTCTGGGACTTCACTATTGGTACAACCTCTCCGGGCCCAAATGGGTACCTACCCAACAACTAAAATCTGGTTTTGAAGGACATTTCTGCTTTCATCTCATTCATTCACCCTTGCCTCTCCTCTGGCAGTTAATCAGCTAGCCTCATTCATAGGGCTGATAATAACAATCTATTTCTTCTCCTAGCAACCTGCCTTCTCATCTCCCTCAAGGAACAGATGCCTGAGGTCTCCAAAATGGCAGTTAACCAGATGCCTCTCCAGCCATACTTCCTGCTGAGTATGAACCCACCAACTCCCAACTTTCCTCTCCCCCATGTTGCCCCGTGACCGCAGGACATGACCAGACTTGAGCCTGTGCCCCTATACCCGAAGAGTCTGGGATGTTTGGGTCTAAGCATCACTCCAGAGCCTGGCATCCATATACAAAAAGAGTCTGGAATAGTTGGGTTCATGCTTCATCCCAGCCCCTGGCATCCATATATTCAAAAAGTCTGGAATGTTTGGCTGGAAGTCCATCCCAAGTTCCCTCCCCTTGAAGTTGTGGCAGTCCAGACTCCACCCCTGAGAAAGCCCTCCAAACAATGACCCATCCCAGGATATGCTCAAGACCACTCCCACAGGGTATTTAAACTGTACCCCAGAGAACAAACACATGATTTTCTTCCAGTCTTCCTTCTCTGCCTCCTCTCTGGGAGGCCATCTGGGAGTGTTGGTATCCATTAAACCTAGGCTTTTTCTAACTCAGTTTGATTTGATCTGATTCAGATTATTGCATCAGCGGAGAAGTTTTTGGGGTGCAGAAACTTTTCACCCATCAATACATTTGTCAAGTAAATTGATTCATGACTTTGCAAAGCACTCAAGTACTCTCAGTCCTTGTTTCTGTCATGGCTACTCACATTTGCCTGAGGGAAAAAAACCCTATATTTTCTTTAGAGTGAGTATAAAGTTTAACCTTCCCACTGTCACCATATACAAGCCGGATTCCTAACTGCATAAAGATAAAGGTAAAAGAACACACCGATCCTTTTTCTGAAACTGTTCCTTTATATGATGAAGTGTAATAAGGAGAAAACCATTATCTCTTATTTTACACAATCTTGGGAAATTCTTTGTGATGTTTTAAAGATTTTAGATGCTAAAGTCTGAAATAAAAGATCAGTATTATTAATAAAGGATCCAGAAATAAAAATTTTGAGACTAAGGATGCAGGGATAGAAATGTAGAGATACAGAAATATACATTTGTAGCTTAAAAGAAAGATGAGGTGACAGTCACCAGCCCTAGGCAGCCACTCGGAATTAACTTTTAACAATGGGTTCCTTTGATTTAAAAGCTAGGCTCTGTTGGAGACCAATGATTAGCATTTACAATGGCAAACTTTTAGATGACCCCCTGTCACTTTGTATGAGATTCTTTGAGGCAGGGCAATAGTGTAAGCACAAGCAAGCACATGCAAACTCACAATGAGTAAGCAAATATTGGCCAAGATAACCTGTCAGGGAACCAAAATTAGGTAATTAATAAATGCGCACTCCTAGCCAATCACAGCACACCAGCAGCAACCACCATTTTCCAAAAGACCAACCAGAAATGTTCCTGCAGCAGCTAACTTTCCCTAATCCTGTAAAAATCCCCAACCTGTTTTCATTAAAGAGCTTCTGTATTGGAACCTCCCTGAGTCTGTGCTGTTGACTTAGCTTCTTTTCGCCCCCTGCTCCCTCCCTGGGAAATGCAGACTGCACACAGGCAGCAACAACAAGCCAGCATAAACTAACAACTCTTGGTTTGCATGATTCCATATTGCTCCCTGTTGTGAAATGCCAGGGAAGTGCAAAATTTTTGTTAACACCATTAGAGGTGCAAGAAAGGAACAACAGACAAATGCAAACATGAGTTTAGCCAGACATCTTGGTGATGAAAATTGTAAGAGCAATTTGCATCCAAGTTTTACCCCAAGAGTATAAAAATTCTTTTATCCATGCCTAATGCTTTTTTCTTATTATAAAAGGGGAACTCAAAAACTGCCCAGGTTGCCACACTTTCAAAAGCCGACCTCTAGCGGTGGTCCCAGGGCCTGGTAAGCCTTTGTGTCTCATGGTGATTTTTTATTTTCTCTTTTCCTAAATAAGGTTTGTGTATGGGTTCATAAATTATGGTGATCTGTCTCCATTGTTGCTCACTCTCGGACCCCAAAATTAGTAATATTAAAAAAAAAAAAGTCCAGTTGAAGAGCAGAAGGAGAGAGAAGATGAGCAAGGAAGTCTATTTGGATGCAAAGCTTCCTAGGCCTGGAAGTAGAGGGGGGAAGGCCTTGGACTTCCCACAGGGCTGGGTTCCCTGCCCTCTTTTAAGAAGGGAGGGGGAGGGAGTAGGAAGAGTAGGAGAGCATGAGGAAATGGGAGGAGGGGAGTGTAAATTTTTGAATGGAAAACATAAAAAAAAATGTGAATTCTACCTTGAAGTAAATTGGCATATTTCTGTTCCCTAGGCATTATGCAAAAGAGCTTTTTGAGAGTTCAGAGGATTCTTTTAGGAATGGAATCTAAGGGAAGTAATTAAGTCATTGGAGACTATGTCCTCAAGAGTAATTGATGTAGTCCTCCTTAGGTACTAATTAGTTCTTCCAGAGTTGTTAATAGAAAAGCAAGGCTAATCTAGTTCTCATTTGTAAACCTGTGGCTGACATGACATCATCTATTACCGTATCATGTAAACAAGGATACTCTCAAAAGAGGCTAAATCAATGGGATGCTTAAAATTACTAACTAAGTAAATCTCTTTCTATACCTTACACAGACACATGACTCACATGCTGAAGCTAGAAAGAGGAAGGCTGGGGATGTCTTAAAGCCATTCACACATCAAAGAAAGAGTTATCATTTTTATTTTTTCAAGATATGCAAAACTTACAAATTTCCATATTTATCTGAGTTACAGCAACAAAGATTTACCTAATATTGCCTGCTTCTTTATATTCAAACACTTTCTTATTTATGTCCCTACCCCTAACACAGTCCTATGGAATTACTAATATTTCTTCTAAAGTTGGCTCTGATGCCTTCCAGAATGAATTTCTCAAGAGGACAGTACCACACAGGGACTAAACTCAGTATCATTGCAGTTAGTGACCTAAGACTCCACGCTTTTGTATTTTCAATAATATCAAGTGTCTCAAATTGCATTCGAGAATTACTAAACTTAGCATTGTTTCACCTTCTGAATGTGTTCATTATTAAATATGCTCATAGATGGCCATCTGTGTAGGTGAACATGAGTGACAGATGTATATCAGATCTTTGTGGAAACACAGAATGTTCCAGATGAGCTATTTCATGCTATTTACTTCAAGAACAACTTTATGAGCTAGTCTTGTCCAGAATAATGGCATAGTCTACACTAAAAAAAAAAATGCTGCTGTCCATATAACAAATCATGTTTAAGATGCAGCAATTCTAATGATAATAAGGGTATTTATTTAAGTAAATATAATATTCAAAATAAACTTAGAAAATAATTGTCTTTTTATATAAATGTTGTATATCAGAAAAGTGATTTTCTACAAGTTTTGCAAGTAAAATATTGTCAAAACCTTTTAACATATTAAGAGTGATGCATGCTTAGAGTATGAATGATAGCTATAAATAAAAGTTGATATTAAGAGTAATGAGCTTATTAACCTGTTGCATCAATCATATATTATTTTCATTCTACACATTGAGTTATACTCGTCTGGTAGTATGTCAGCATATTATGTACTGAGACCATTTAAAAATTAAGATATACTAGACATTAGAAAGAAAGTTCAGAAGTAAAAAGCTGTTGCTCTTCCAGAAGACCAGGGTTTAGTTCCCAACATCCATGTGGCACTCATACCCATCTGAACATCCAGTTCTAAGACCTTGACACCCACTTCTGGTCTCTGAAGGTACTCCATGAACAACCATATATACATAGGCAAAACACATAAAACAATTTTTAACTTAAGATATACTAAAACTACCTTATAGAAATACTATGACTAGATCCTCAGACTTTTACACAAATCAGTATAAGTAGTTTGATAATGGTGGCTTTTATCTTAGACTGCATATATTTAAAACATACTTTGCATATATTCAGTGAAGAAAATATATTAAAGTCATAAATTAATCCAACATGAATTTTCTGTAAAGATAGCTTATAGTACCAATTATTTTTATATAAGAATCAGATGGCACCAAGATTACCTTCTATAATAGACATTATAAAGAGAAGTATGATTCAGTGTTTCAAGTATTGCTTGATCTTACCTGCTGGTTTACAGGGAAATTTCTGTTGATTTTTTTGATCTGCAATGATAAATTAATCAATAAATCAGTGACAACAAAAGTATAAAAAGTAGTTCCTAAATATATCTGATTATCTAATTTTAGGAGTTATATTATATGATCCAGGCATGGTGGTACACACCTTCAAAACCAGTATTTGTCAGGCAGAGGCAAGCTAATCTCTGGGAAGCAAAGGCTATTCTACTTTGTACAATGAGTTCCAGTGCAGCTAAGGATACATAGTTAGAACCTGTCTCAAAACATGTCTGAGAGTGGGTTATCCTATAGTAAAAAGAAACCTCAGCATACTAAAATTGTTATACATAAACCCATTTTAATGGGAGGTCATGTACAATTTCATATATAAAGATTTTGAAAAGTGAGTAGTAATTGTTCATTTGTGAGTAATGAATCTTACTTCCATGTGATATAAAAGAGCATCTGCCACGAATCTAAAGAAAGTAGACTTACTATTTAACATCATACTATGAAATCACAGAACAACAATTTAAGTTTAATATTGAGAACATAGCAGATATAGTTTAATACATGTATTTTCAGTCAGCATCTAAATAAAAAGTAATTTTTACTTTCAAAAATTTAATGAATTTTATTGTGTAAGAATGTATAATCTCCAGAAACATCTCCTCTGAAGAAATTCATGGAAACAAACTTGAAAAAGCAAATTAAAATACATAATCATAGGTGACAAATTTATGAAACAATAATGACTAATTAAATCCATTATTCCACATCATATTTATGGAGAAATTTCAATACCAGGTTTATAGGGCATGAATTTAGACCAGATTTAAATGTAGATTATTTATATGATAACTTATGCAATTGATCTGTTTTCTTTTCTTTTTAAACTCCCTTTAATTATCTAGTAAACATGAAATATGCAGTTAGATACCTGTATGCACAAAGTTATAAAAATTATCAAAATCTCTTCTAATAGTACAAATTGACTTTCTAGGTATAATTCTTTAAAATGTAAAACTGAAAGAAGATTTAAAAATAAATATATTTTGAGCAAGTTTTGCAGTTTATAAAGAAACCTTGTCCTTTCATGATTACAATGTTAGCCTGCACCCAGTATCCTCACCTCACACACTACGGTATCTGTTACACATTCCCAACTTCCTATTTCTTTCTCCACAATATTTACAAGTTGAAAAAACAAACAGATTTGACTGCTAAACATCACATACTAATCCACCAGAAATCTCTTTGAAAATCAGTAAAACAATTGCTTGAATTATTTCATTTTTGAAATAATTATAGAAATGGACTAATATATTTATTTGGATTTTCGAGACAGGGTTTCTCTATAGCTTTGGAACCTGTCCTGGAACTAGCTCTTGCAGGTCAAGCTGGCTTCAGACTCAAAGAGATTCACCTGCCTCTGCTTTCCGAGTGCTGGGATTTAAGGCGTGCGCCACCACCGCCTGGCTTCTCGGCTTCATGTGGAGCTTTTTATCCTTAATAGTGCACTATAAAGATTCATAACTTGACTAAGTCTGAAAAATACTCTGAGAAATATTATTTGGAAAAGAGTGTTGGCCATGTATACAGGTATTACAATACAGGAAGCAATGGTTGTATAGTATATGCTGAGGACAGGCAGCTTGCTATATCCCAGGACTTGGAACCTTACATAAAACTAGTCCCAAACACACACACACACACACACACACACACACGCACACGCACACGCACACGCACATGCACACATGACATGGATACATTATTCAAATAAGCCTAGCTCCAAACACACACACACACATACATGCATGCATGCATAAATGCACACTTTTACACATACACATATGAACACACACGGAGAACATTATATTAAAGTGAACAACCCACAGATGTCTGGGAAGGAAAGCAATACCATTGCCTCTTCTTTCAACAAGTAAAGCTTTGGACCATGTCACTGAATCATGCATCAGGAAGCCTTCCACATCCAAATGAGAGAGAGAGAGAGAGACTCCCGACCTCAGTCATGTATCAGAGAAAACTGTGCCCAGAGTTCTAGTCATCCCAAATATCATTGGCCAAAACAAATCAAATTCCCACTACACTTCCCCTCCTTTTCTAAGAAGGTTCTAATCTTAACATAAAACTATATACAATAAGAACAACGATAAAATATTGTGCAGGAAAAGGAAAGGTAATAGCGTAAACAAAAATAAAACTACAATCAACAAGAGCAAAATCAGGAAACAAACACTCTCTAAATGTCCAGGCCATAGGTAATTGGCAAATTACAAAGACAACTCCGTAGCTGTCCTATCCTAAAGAGTCTGTCTTGTGTGTAATAAATCCTTAGCTAAGACATGAGGGAGTTGAGACTGTATCTATCTAGTCTTCAACCCCATCAAAGACCTGAGAAGGAAGATAATATTGTTTGAGTAAGCAGGAAGTACAAGCAAACGGCTTCCCAATGATGCAAAAAATGACAGAAACAGCTGGCTGCCTAGACAGTCACACAAAGTCTCTCTTCAATTTGTGGCAACCAACTTTGGCTATATGCCAGTTTTTCCAAGAAGAACACAAGCTCCTTATGGACTGTCTTCAGTACCCATCATTCTCTCTGGAGTAGATAGGTGCTGCCAGAAGAAGTCATTTCTCACATCAGTAGAATCATAAGCTGTCAAAACATTTAAATGATTACATATTTATATAGACTACATCTTTGTGGAACTAATATAAGTATGAGAAATATAAGTGACTATTAATCTGTAGTTCTTAACAACCTATAGAATTTAAAGACTAAAGTTTCACACTATAAAAATAAACAATTTCTAAGCAGATGTACAGTATAAAGACAATGGCCTTGAGGTTGTTACATATACAAAACTTCTTAATTCGAGGTAGAAATGCATAGTGCAACATGACAAAAATAGTTTCAATTTGTACCAATTTACAAAATATACTAAACATAAGTCGAAACACACAAACAGTGTGACAGAAATAATTTTACATTTGTGTCAATATACAAAAACATTTTGAAAAGAAGTAGGAAGATATATAAAGTATAACAAATATAAGTTTGAATTTGTGTCAATTTACAAATTATCTTAAATAGGAATTGAAGAAAAATTTTACATTTGTATCAATATACAAGAACCCATACCAATGCAAATTATCTAAAACAATTAGCTGGTATTTTAGTTTACAAGTAGATAAAATTATCTACCTTATTATCCTATCCTATCTATCTCTCTTTTTTTATTCCAAATGATATTCCAGAGTCTAGCCTTTATTTTTTATCCTCCAACACTATAACAACTTATAACCAACCCCTAACAGATGACATTTATTCATAACCCTGAAAAAAAAAAAACAGAAACCATCCATCCCACATGTTGGGAGAGAGTGTGTTGTGTTCTTAGAATTACTTCCAGCTGACTGGGATGGATGAGGGTATCTCTACTGGATGCAGTAAAAAAACAAAACAATGGTTAAGTTTCATGATGACAAGCTGTAACACTTGTAGCCAATCTCTGAGTAATGGGTATTGCTTCTTATAAGAAGTTCTGACTAGAGTGGTATAGGAAGGTGGACCATCTAAGACAACCAACTTAGAATTGTCCTGAGCAGTCTGTAGTCCAAAGTCAATCTTTGTGTGGTGTTTATTGACTATTATCCTCTGCATTGGGAAAAAAAAAACACAAAAGAAAAATGTCCTTGAATTCACAGGGAAACTTAAATGGTCACAATCACACAAGAAATTTAATGGAGAATTTATTTATATCTTCTTTATGTTCTTTCAATGATGTTTGACAGTTTAAATTTTATTTTTTTTCTTTTTGATAAGCTATCCTCTAATTATTGGTGATATTATAAGTGAAACTGATCTTCATTTTACCTTTCCAGAAGTATCTCGGACAATGATTTTAAATTTGCTACAAAGATTATCAAAACCACTGGATATGAACCCACTACTGAACATGAGGATGGATGGAAGATAGTCTAGCACATTCTCTGAAAACCATGAAGCAACTGTCCTCAGGAAAATTGCTGAGTTCATTTGTGTATATCAAAAACTGGAGAATGAATTTGGGTCATCCCTTTTATATGCAAAGATCAGATAAAAATGAATTCAAATATTAAATATAAATAAACACCAAAGCTATCAAAATTTTTAGAGTACATATAATTAATAAAGATCCTGCAAGAAAATGAGAACTAATGGGAAGGCAGGATGTTACTGATGACTTACCAAATAGATAAAACTATTAATCCACAGAGCTAAGGGAAACCATACTTTAGACAGAAATTTCTTTCCTCCCCAGTTCTGCAGCTGTTTGGTCCCAAAAATCACACAGAGGCTTATATTTATTATAAACTGTTTGGCCCATTATCTTAGGTATGTTATGGACTGGCTCTTACAACTTAAATTAACCCATAATTCTTGTCTGTGTCTAGCCACATGGCTTGGTACCTTTTATAAGTAAAGAATTCTCATTTTTGCTTCCTCTGTGTATGGCTGGTGACTGCTTCTCTAACTTTCCTCTTCCCAGAATTCTCCTAGTTGCCCCAGTATCCCATAGTGAAAGTGCAGCAAACCACAGCTAAAGGAATAGATGCACACAGAAAGAAAATGTTGGATGTATTCTAATTCACTCATCATTGAATTTTGAAACTTCATATAGAAGTGAGATCAATGCATGGAACTGAATGGTCTTTCAGTAGAAAGATGGACCTGATCTACAAGGAGTATTTAGTCATGACAATGAGACACATCTGCTCCTGGCAGCACCAGTCTACTTCAAGAGGAATACGGGCATCGAAGAGTTCCTTAGGTAGTTTGCTAGCCATTTGGGCAAGAAACTGCTCTTGCCTGGACTGTTTGATGCTATGCTGTATGAACTGGACAATGAGGACACACAGAGAAATGGCTGTTGAAGTTATCTATAGGTGAGACAATTCTTAAGGGTTCCTGTTTCATGAAAGAGTCTGCTAGTCTTTCTTCAGTACACAGAAATGTGACTGACAAACTGCCAATA